TTCCAGCAAACATTTAGACTTGGCTTTCTGTTGGATTTGTTGAAAATGCAACAATAGAGTAAAACAATTGCTAACTACAATGGAATAGTGCAGACCTTCCGTTTAGTTTCCTAGGTTTTCAAAGCTGCTCTACTGACTTTGGTGCGTGCATGGGTTTTAAGTGGTAATGTAGAAAGAACAGGGTTTTACAAAGGTTTTGTTTCGTAATCTTGAAAGACAAAAACAGACAAAAATCTGCGATGTAAAACACAATATCCTTGGTAGCGGTAAAATCCAGCTGATTGAAAGGACTAAGGAAATTGTGCTTGTAACAGGACAGCGTGTGAACTTTACAGCTCGTAGTAAAGCTTGTACTTGCTGCTGTACATGCTTCTGTGTGAACACTTCATGAATCTGTCTAGCTCTGTCCATGCCGGATGCGGGAAAAAAATCATGGAAGAGGCACCTATGACTCACAGTGTCTTTAAAGGACTATAATTCTATGGAAGTAAAGACGAAATGTGCCAACAAAAACCGACACCGTGATTTGAAAACCGGTTACAGGCAATGTTGACCCTGAAGAGTCAAAACACCACAGGTCCCGCGGGTAACCATGAAACCCGTGGGTCAGCTGTCGCCAAGGTTACCGCTGAGGTCAATGAATGCACACAGAGAGCATAAGTGTTGACTGCAGGGAGGTGACACAAAGTGCCCTTACAGCTAGATGCTCTAAAGAGTAATCAATGGAAATAAACCTCCCACTGGGATCCTTAAGTTATTTCTGTGCTGAATATCAGACAACTTTCTGTGATAACTGTATTATTGTTGATGTAAGCTGCAATTTATGATTAGAGGGGCAGAACATGTATTGTTTACAAGGTACAGCTTCTCAAATGTGAGGGTTTGATGGTTATTTTGGGGGTATACAAGATTAACCTGAACACATTTTGATTTTGAACTGTTGGTTCGAACACTTTGACATTCACCAATGTTTTAAAGAGCAAAGGATGAGAAGAGTGTAATCAAACACAAGAATCTGCTGATTTGTTTATAATCTGACCATAAATTGCATCCCCTAAATATAATTTTGCATATCCATTAATCTGTTCTGAAAATTCAACCACTGGCTTCTGTAAAAAAAAACATCAGAAAACAGTAAAAAAAAATCATCACAATTTCCTAAAAGCCAAGGTGATGTTATCAGTCCAATGACTAATGTACCGACATGCAAGATAGTTTAAACCAGCAGCTTTCAGAATCATTGCCAATGAATTGTTCTGTATAACTAATCAAACTCATTGTTGCAGCTCAATTCTACTTGATAAATGTGCTTTATTAAAAAGATAAAATAACTCACCTGTCCACCTGGAAACAGCATCTTTTGCGGACACCATTTGACTTTCCTGCAAAACAAAATGTATGATCAACATGTGCTATTCCTTATGTATGCAATGTGTTTTAAGAGTTAATTATATTTATACTGGACAGAAAATACTACATGGAATCAATTCAAATGTATGAGACATTTCAATATAATTAGGAGCTATAATAATTATGCTGTGTACAGAGAATAAAAGAGTTATGTTTTAGATGAGGGAAAGCAGTGTTCGTTTTGTGATGAAATTCCATATGTTTGTTTTGTGGACACTGTGCCAATGTGAAAAAAGCAATGTGGAGTAATTGCCTCATGAGAACACCCAGCTGACATGCTGTTGACCTCAGAGTAGAAAATGTTTTCTACAACAAATGTACTCCATATCTAGTAAACTCAATTAAACTGCCACAAAACTTTGAACACAAGACAGAAAATACTGGGAACATAAATGAAGGTTGGCGCTAAACAATTCCCTTTATATAGGAACGTGTGGTCGGTGAAGTGATGGTTGGATTGCTACGGTCATACTGTATGAACAAGTTGTGGAGTACTATGAAATCCAAGTGGACAGCTGAGCCTAAACCTCCCCTGCAGCTGCGGCTAGAAAAAAACCCATCGAGAAGGTCTGAGCAACGTGCTGGGATTGTGTTCAAGCTTTAAGGGAAATCTTTAGTGACCAATAAAACTGAATCCTGAAACAACAGCAGGTAACATCATCGAGTGTCTAGGTTTTAAACCAACACTTTTGTGGCTGCTGTGCTATGAAGACTGCAGATGTGCTAGATTACAGCAGGTTTTGGCTGATTTCTCCTTGATTTGTCTTTCAAGAAAAGCAGAAGAGTGATCTGCTTCAAGGACTTGAACAGTAGCAATGTCATTGACTGTCAGCAACGATTGAAAGGATGAAAAAAACATTAATAGCAGGAAAATAAAAAGCAGCCTGCAAGTGGGAGGGACTCAATTGCCATAACTTCTGACTCATAGACCTGTGAACGGGCCTGCGTTTGGCTACATGACTAATGTTCTATTCTGCTTATCTGAACCAGATACATCACGGTAGTTTGCTACAACCTGGGAAGGACAACAAAGACGATCACAAACTATGTTTACCTTTGGTAACTAAGTCATTTAAGAACTCCAAAATCATCCATAAATCTGTGTATTGTTGTGGTTCTCCTTCAAAATGGTTGTAAATAAGCTGTTTGAAATCATATCCAACTGTATCACTGCCTCTTCATAACGTGTCATACCTGACACGCCTGTGGCTGTGTTTTCTCTCACGTGTTTTTTTTGCCCTTCCCATGTTTGGTGTTTTGGTGTTTTAGCCCCACCTTCTGCCACATATGCTTATTGGTATCTGTGGGTTGCGGTCCACCACTGTAAAACCAATTTGACATGACAAATGCAACTTGCATAAAAACGTTATTTGTCAACTTGTTGCCACTTATACTGTATGTTTTGTGGATCCGCCGACAGTGAGCATGTATGACGTTAAAGCTTTAATACATTAAATAGGATAAAACACAGCGACTACAGTCAAATACATTCAAATGTTGGACTTGCATATTTGTTTCTATCATTTTAGCAACCACTGTCAAATCATTCAATCTTTGTCAAACATGCGCACAGCAGAGGTCATCTCAAATAAATCCAATAGCCAATAATTAGTACATAATACATATTTGGTGTTGGTTACATGTGCCGAAGGTGAAATTAAGGAATATTGTTTGTGAAATATTTTATTTATCATTCAAAATCTCAAATACCCATTCTATATGTTAAAGGGGTAAGTAGTCCAAATGTATGTGTATTATTGTTCGAACAGTGGTGGAAGAAATACTGCATATTAAAATGTCACAGAAGTATTATTTGCTAAATGTACTTTGACCACGGGTTCCCAACAGACATCTACTTCAAAATAGTCTCTGAACAAATGAGTATCACTTCTGGGGAAACAGGTATGAGCCCATCCTGCAAGACGAGTCCAAGCCTCCTCAGCAAGCAGACAAAACATAAAGTCACACACAGAAATAGAATCTCTCTGAGCATAACTCAAGCTGCACTGACGGGAGATCGTTATCTGTTATCAAAGCTGTGTGTGTGTGTGTGTTTGTTGTGTGTGTGGTGTGTGTGTGTGTGTGTGTGGTGTGTGTGTGTGTGTGTGTGTGTGTGTGTGTTGTGGGGGGGGGGGGGAGGTAGTTATAAAAGAAGAACATATAAGAAAAGCAAGTTTGTCTTCTCACCAACTAATGGGTTTATCTGTTGAATCTCTGTGATTTATCTGTGCACACAGTAGAGCAGAACATTTAGAGAGGTATGTACAGAGAAAGATGAGAGACTGAACTTTCACGATAGCCTCAACTTACACAGAAGATAAATTACAGGTAATAAATAAGAAGGCCCTGGATTCTACCCTCTGGATGTAAAGATAACATGAATATCTCTGCCCCATTTCCAAACAAGTTCATACAAAAGCTTCTACTTACAGAGGGGATACATTCAAGTGGAATAATATGAAGGCCCTGAAGTCTGTATATACCCTCTGGAAACAAAAAGACAATTAATATCTGCCTCCTTTTATGTAAGACTTGCATGTATTATACTTAGCCTAAATGTTTTATCAACAGTTCAATATTTCAAAATAAAAAAATGGCAGTTTTTCCTTTTCCTGAGGTTGGGATCTATTATCCAACAGCTGTTGCAGTGATTAAGCTTGGCAATGAATGTATCACAAGCACCAGAGGCCGAGCTCCTGCAGAGTCTCTAACAACGTGATCATGAAGTCATTTCTCTGGGCAGGGAAACAAATATAAATGTTAAAGGAATGGGTGTTTTTTCTGGATTTAAGCACGTTTTGGCACCAACCTTAAAACACATCTTTAATGTATCTACCATAAAGTGTAAAGAATAGTTGGCAGACCACAGCTGTCGTAAAATATATCGCATTGGCTTTTCTCCTTTTTAAAAAGGTACTTTTATACAAATACAAGTACTGTGGTAAATGCTTACAATACTGGAACTTCATCTGAAACCTAGATACAAAACTATAACGGTATCTATGGTAGAAAGTCTTCAGACATTTTTGGTCATAAGTGAATAAAAAATTACTTGATTTGTAAGATTGCTACAACAGTTATTTTAACTTGAACTCAACTTTGATATCAACTACATTAGCCAGGAATGATTTGCCTGCATGTCTCTTTTGTTATCAGTAGAAGACATAATATTAATGTAATGCTGAAGTGGAAAGAAACAGCAGAAGCGTGTGTGCATGCTTGGTGAAGGGAGGTGTAGGTAAACCAAGCAGACATTTTTACGACACCACACATCTCACATGTGTACATAAGGCAACACACCCCATTCTCCACAGGTCAGCTGTAACAAGAACTCAAGGCGGTGTAAGATTTTTGTAATACCACTAACGGCTGTGTGCATTGTGGGGACGTATTATAGAAGAGGTGTGTCAATAAGTCATGGCCAGTGGCCTTGTCTTCGCCATAACAAGCTTTTAACTACAAACCCTCAGAGCTGAGAGGTCAGAGGTCACACTGCTCATTTACTGTAGAGAGCAATTAAAACTGACATGCAAGTTTAAGAGCTGACCAGAAAGCAGAGGTCTGTGTCTCAGCAGGAAGCTGCTCACTGTTCACACTCATCGTCTCGTATCTGCATGTCACCAGTTTGTGGTTCCAGCTGACGGTTAAATATTGACATCAGAGCGTATTTCAAATGTTGAGCAAAGACCACTTGCAATCCACTTTTCACTTCCTTGTTCACATTTGATTCAAACCGTGAGAAACTGTGACCCTGCAGAGCAGATACATGTTGGTTCTCAGCAGTACGACGTGACATCCTTTAATCAGACCCTGCACAACTAAATCATGTCTTTAGTTATGTCATATTAACTATATTCCTCTGTGTTTGGGAGGGTTTGCATATACACGTTCATGCAACATATAACCGTGGTCCGTCTCTGTTCACAAACACAAGCTTTTCTTTATTTGAATACCTTGGTTAGAGCCTTCTCAACAGTTAGGAACAGCTACATGTTCAATGTAATGTGTGAGGAGAGAATGGTTTTTAACACTTCCTGCCTATGTTATTTTTAGCACTATGAGTCAAGGGTTTTGTTTACTGCACTCCTTTGCAGTTCTGTTCTGGTACAGTTTTCATTAATGTACCTGCAGTAAGTCTATGTTGAAAAATGTACAAGCTTAAAAAATGTCTGCCAACTGTATCATAGTCCTATTTTTATCACTGCTATTTGTGACAATTAGTGGGAGGCTGAACTGAAATTGTCCAGCACCTAAGGCACAACTCAGGATTCATTATGGGGTGTGAAACCAGCTCCTCAAGCGGTTTGTTTCACTACCCTTTCCTCTCTTCTTATAGAGATCATTACTGAATGTAAAAACACACCATCTGCCTTCATAAGCCACCTCATGTTGGAATCAAGTCTCCATATTTGTTTAGCATTATTTCACTAGATACAAGCTATATTGTCAGATATTTCTGGTGATTGTCAAAACCTCCACAAATATCTATAGAGATTACATACAGGCTTTTAAATCCAGTGGCAACAATTCATTTGACATTACATGCACAAGAAAAATTCAACAATGAATTCCTTATGAATCTGCTTTGTACTGAAGTGGCTGTTAAGCTACGCTGCCTGTATCATGAGTCACTACATACACTCAATGAACAGTCAAATGGAAGCTTTGTCTGATGTAATGCAGTCCAATACAACAGCTATGGTTGTTGTTGAACCAACATATTAAATATAATCCATTCTCACATAACTTCACAACTCAGTTCAGTTTCATAGAGGTGAATCACCAGCACTCTGACATGGTCTCAAACAGTTAGAGTTTCACTGAGTCACCTTATGAAGCTGGATTGTATTACGTTTTACAGGAAGATATATTTCTCTGTTCAGTGATCATAGGTGACTTGATTGAAGCGAAATGCTTTAAACAAACTCTTTGAAAATGAAAAAGAAAGCAGTCACGTTGCGTCTGTACTCACTCATCTCCTCGACGACCTCGGGGTCACATTCTCTGTACTTCTCGAGCTCGGCCTGCAGCTGCGTCCGCTCCTCTCTCAGAGCCTGCAGCTCCTTCAGCAGAGAGCCTCTCTCCTTCTACACACACACACATCATTTGGGTTTTTAGAAGTGTAACTCTAATAGATTCATTATTATTTTTAGCACATTTCATTCACAGTACATCATGATTTTGGTACATTTTATGAAAAGGTTCTTACTGTGTCTTGACGTCCTACTTTCGCTTTTTCAACCGCTTTCTGAACAGACGCTTTTCGCTGCTTTGCTTCAGAAATCTAGAAAGTTCAATAGTCTAACATTAGGCACATTTCACACACATTTTCCACCAAGGAAAACCATGTAAACAAAACACATTTTCCTGTTTCTGGCATGAAATAATATTATGTTTCAACTTCAAAGTGGGGAAACAGTTGCTGAGAAAACACAATAACGTCCTGAACGATAACAAATCAACATTAGTTAGCGCATCTTTGACAAGAGAGCAGAAGATAATCTGGCTTTTGTAGCTTTTAAGCGTTATGTAAACCTCCCAAAAATCTCAGTTTCCTATGATTGCTCACCAGTGCATTAGAGGCTAATGGTTCATTGACGGTAGAAGCTAGTTAAGTTGTGCATTAGAGTGTCAAAGCATGCTCTAGTCTGAAAGAAAGGAAGCTGGGTTGTTATTTGTTTGTAAATAACACTTTTTCTAATGTATCATTTAGAGCCATCACTTCATTAGTCATGATATCACTCATATCATTTACATTGCTAGATAATATCACTTCAGTTGAATTCCACATGACCAGTCGACCCTTATTATCCTGATCATCTGCTGTCATGTCATCCATGTCTGTGTAATGTATAAATGATATGTTATTATTTAGTGACAGATTGCGGCTCTAGATCCTTTAACTTCTGTTGTAGAAATGTGGAGGCCATCGCTCTCTGAGGAGTCGCCACCCTCTCGCCATCTGCCTGCCGAGATGACGAGGAGTGATACTTCTGACACTACCAATCTCCCAGCAAAGCCACCAAGTGCGACATGGGAGAATCTCAGTGCTGAGTTATTAATAGGGCTCATTCGTTGTATTTTTTGGCGGGAATTCTCTGTTTATTATCAATAAAAAAAAATGGGGAAATAATATGAAACCAAAACACTATGATGAAAGATATCCATTATAATTCATCCACTGCCTCTTCCTGTCATTCTATTACCAGAAGCAGAGTCTTCTTGACACAGAGACCACAGCTTTGGTTCAAATCTATCTTATCCACTAATAGAAAACTTGTTTTGATGGAAAAATCAAATCTCTTGTTATGCCATACATAACAGTTTCTGTTCCGTACAGCGCAAGATGTTCTTCATCCATTCTGTTTTGTTTGATAACATCTGCAGCTTTTGAGATATAAGGTTGTTTGTTAACACCGAGCGTCTTCACCTGGTTTTCCAGATCCTCCAGTTTGTTCTTGCGAGCGTGCAGGGCCTTGCTGGGAAAGGCCCAGTAGTAGTTGGACGTACCCACTCTCTCAGAGTCCACCATGTTGTCATCCACCAGGCTCTGCAGCACGTCCTTCACACTCATGGGAGCTTAAAGCAGAGAGAGGAAAACACACCTCCTACATTACACATACACACTCTCCAGCAGCTATTTGTGGATTATTGATTTGATTTGTGCACGACTGATTCAAACAGGAGGTTTGATTGTTACACGCTGAGTAGACTTAAGGTGATGTTCGGATGTTAGGTTTAACATTGCATTTGACTGAGGATTTGAAAAATACAAGAAGGTCTAATTCTTCCTGTTGGCGAGGCGTACCACTCGAATGCTCGCACATCGTCACCCTCACATCTGCTGCCTATCGGGCCGCTTTATGCTTATCTGAGAGAACATTGCATGAGAGGATGTAACAGTAGAGGAGTTCCTTTTTGAACAGTGTCAGCGGTGAAATGTGATACTCCCACGCTTCACTGTGAAAACTGAAAGCGCCTATCTGCTGTGTTAAGGGCTGAGCTGGATGTCGAACAGGAGCAAAAATAAAAACGAGATGCGAAAATGAAAGACGCTCTGGATGGATCAAACTCTGTATGTGCCTGACTCCAGTCCTTGGTCTTGTTCATGTGACTCAAATAGCTTTTTGGCCTTTCTTCAACTTCTGCTTTTAAAGGGTTACTGATATTGTATAACCACTATTTGTTTAAAGTAGCTGAGATTGCTTCCTTGGCCTCTTTTCTCACATGTTCCCCCCTTCTACAGGAACATGTGCCCATAGTGCAGAACTCTTGTTGCCCCCTCCCCCATCACTTAGTAACTATATCATGCCCAAGTAAGGGGGACAAAAACATGTGCTTTTAATCACAGCAACATGATCCAGTTTCTCTAGATTCATGTTATGTCCACCCAAACATACACAACACAGCTTTGTTCCTCTGCAGCTCTTAAAAATGCAAGATTGTATTTTTTTGCCCGCTTTAATCTAAGCTCAATTTTGACAATGAGGAAATGTGTTTCATTTCAAACTAAAAGCTTTCAATGGTTCTCTGCACTGTGAGATTGCTGCTGTCGATACGGCTGGTTCTGCAGAATAAATACAGTTAAGATGGCAACAGCTAGTCCTGGTTGCCATGGCCATGTTGCAAGCATGTCACCACAATGTTTCCAAGAATGCATGCAGTGCCTGTTCACACTGACTGTATTGTCTTTGGAGATAATCTGATGGAATATGACTTATTAAAGACAAAAGTTGGTATCAATGCATCCATACCCCATGTATGACACTTTAAGAACACTACAGTTTTATATCTATTGTTCACCTGTCGAGAACGTGTTGAAAACGGAAAGAAATTCTCTGCTGATCCCACAAACATTGTAGATTAAAAGTCCTTAATGTTTTTGGTATTTACTTAAAATACTCTTTTAGGCTAAAATGCATATTCAAGTAAAGTGTACTGCAACAATTAACAGCTCTGTTCACTGTCAATTACCTCTTAGAAATATGCAGACTGACTGGATGAAGACTTATGAAAATAAGAGAATAATCAGTTCCAACATGTTTATGCTTTGCCATTAGAAATCCCTCGAGTGTCTCCTGTTCAGACTCAGCTCTGAGAATCATGTTTTTCTTTTCTAAAAATATAGTAATGACTCCACAAACCTTTAAAAACCAGCAAGGGAAACACATACACAAACAAGAGCAAACCAAAAAGCACCATACAAAGCGGTGGGTCAATACTCACTTATGCCTTTTTGCTTGGGGGCGATCTTCTCAATGTCTTTCAGCTGAAACACATCTTTCTGAGAAGAGAATATATTCAAGATTTGTAATCACGGTACAGTCGAAAAAGGAACAATTTAGCAAATATCTGCAACCTTATTTAGTGCTAAAATGTTTTCAACGTTCCCTTTTTAAGCACATTAAAGCCATTGTTAGGCCAGTCCGTTTAGTTATGATGTGTATGAAAGAGAGTAATCATTTGGTAGCAGTTTGCAAGTTGGCTTTCGTCTTCTTCACAATAAGACAGCCTAATCAATGAGGGATAATGATTCAATACTTATTCAATTGTGTTAAATACAATTAAAATGCACAATCATACTGTACGGCCTGGTACGGCAGCTGGACCACCCTCAACCGTAAGGCTTTACAGAGGGTGGGGAAAACTGCACAGAACATCACCAGGACGGAGCTGCCATCCACGGAGGACCTTTACTCCCAGCGGCTCAGGAAGAAATCCCTCCGGATTATAAAAGGCCCCCATCACCCCAGCCACAAACAGTTCTGTCTGCTGCCGTCTGGCAGGCGTTACCGCAGCAACCGGACTAAAACCACCAGACTCACACAGGCAATAAGACTGTGAAACACCTGAACTGTTGAAGCTAAATCTGTGAAACACCTGAACAGTTGAAATAACATCCCTAATATTCATCTGGCTGCTACTTAAAAATGATTGAAAAATGATTGATCTATTTACCTATATATCCTATTTCAATAACTTGCATATAGGCTCTTATTGCACCATTTCACTATTTTAAACTATTTTTCTTTTTGTATTACTATTTACTTGCACTATATTGTTTCTGTTTATCTGTGTTTTGTGTTGCTCTGTTGGAGAAGCCTGTGACACAAGATTTTCATCTGCATAACTACACTGTAGCTATGTTCGTATGACTAAATAAAGAACCTTGAACCTTGACAAGAAAGTACAGTGTTCAGAGAGTTTTGTGTGCAAAGTGTATTTGACCAAAAAAGGGAATACTGAGGCCACATATTATGTTAATGTTGTTCTTATTTCTTACCGTTTCAAAGAAAATCTCCATCATGCGACTTCTCTTTTCATCCAAGCTTAGTCCTTTCTTCTTTGACTGTAACAGATAGTTTCATGTCACATCAGGGCAGGGGCAAATGTACTACACAGTCATTTAATAAGTGAAAGTGGCAGTACAAACAGCATGAGGGACTGATAAACACCATTCAGCAAGGATCAAAACCTTAATATATAATAAACCATAAATAACATTCGCAGCACTTTAAAAAGTTCAGGTTTAATAACTGCTGTGTTGTGGGCTTATTAATGCACAGGTCAATGCATTATTATTATTATTATTCTACCATTTCTCACTGCTATGAGAAAACAAAAGCTACTTTATTATGGGTTGTTTTAATCACTACAGTGCACTAGAATTATCTGCCAACAAATCTGACCTTTTCCTTTCCTTAATTACCATGCATCATATTATATTTTAATTTCAACTCTTAATGACCAATAAAGCATGTTGTCACAGCTAATCCAACACCTGCTTTTAATGTGTTTATAACAAGGGTTGCTAGCAGACCACAATGGACATAAACCTTCGGCGTGTTTTGACCATAGACTGTATATATTGTTTTGAAGTATGCAATGACAATAGTGCAGTGTTATTAGTGAGTTCATCAAATAAATCTTATCAATAAATTGTATCAAATACAATCATTAAATAAAAGCTATCAGTGTTGTTGTGTTACAGCTTCCGGGCACCAAGGGCAGCACCGAGCCACAGTGTACTCTGCGAGGGAGAATACATTATGGATTTTACAAGGTTTAAGTTTATGTAAGCTAATGGACACGACCCAATAAGTCTTGTTTTGAGTATTTTACACTTTATGTTGTACACCCCATGGATGTATAAAGAGAACCTAATAAGGTCTTAAGTGTGATGGGTGAAGTGCTAGAAGTTAGCACTAAAACGTTAACGCTAAGGTAATTGTGCTAAGTTTATTCATTATAAGTATATGATCAGCTTTAAAACGTTAATGCTAACTCAAAAACATAATGTGATTAAACGTTGACAGGTTATTTCCGGTTGATGGCTGAAGCTGATGTTTCCGTTAGCTGGCAGTTTGCTTGGTAATGCTACCTTTAACGTCCCTATGAGCACTTGCAGGAAAAGGTAAACGTCTACTTACCATTTTGCAATGTTAGTCGAATCAGAAACAATCACTGACAACAGGGTTTTCCGTTACAGGATGCTACAAAGCGCTGTTGTATGTTACTAATCCAAATAGGAAAGAAACCTTCCCAGTACTGAATTTCCCGCGGAACGTTGTCATGGGGCTTCTGCTGCCTTCGCTGCTCGTCGTAAACTCGATAATATACCGCGATGTACACCAGACAAATATATATATATGTTGTTTTAACTTAATGTATTCTTTAAGATACAACGTACATGTGATCTTTTCCATATTAACATGTTTGAGCGAAAGAAAACCTTGAGAAACGGTCATGTTTGCCACGGTTTTGGATCGTTTGTGTCGTGTTGTGATCAATATTGGTTATTTCCAACTGCTAAGAAGGCAGCATTATTATAATGGGGAGGAGCGATGTTGTTTGACTTGAACTCGTGATTTTCTGACGCCATCTACTGTCTAATAAAAACATTGTTCAAATAAATTACTTATGCCACTTATTACAACAAATATCACATGCATCTTCTTTCCTTTCCCTATTTTGTGTTACTTGTTGTAAAATGTATTTGTATGCCAAGACATTTACTGCAACTTTTAAGATGAAAAATAAATACAACTGTCATTCCTGCCCTTACAGATACAGTAAGTATACACAACAAAAAACATCAAACACAATATTATTTCTTATGGGCACTTTAATTCCATTTGGCATTACAAATAAAAACAAGACAAAATGACAACAAATAATTTAACAGGATTTTGTAGAAAATGGATGACCAAATGCAGGATAACAAGTACTGAAAACTGTGCTAGGGCTATAGGAGCACAGTGCCTTTTGTACAACATACACCAAAACTGTTGGAATACATATTGCATCCTTTTTTAAGGATCAAATAGTTTTTACTACAACATGTTAGTGGTTTTAGAAATGTTTGTAAGACATGAGAGAACATGGATAGGAGTGAGATGATCGCAGCCTTGCTTAATGATGTTTTAATGTTTAATTAAAGCTGTCTATTGCAACATGATGAGCAAACCTTTACATTGATGCATCTGAGGACTGAGTCTATCTACACATGTTTTGTTATTTACTCAAATTCTGCAATAAACAAAATGATGTTTGCACATAATCACAGCACATTTGTAAGTCAACATGTCAAGTGGCTTTTGTTTTATACCTTAACTGATCACAACACAATCACACAAACACACTATAGTACTGTATGTGTCTTTGTTAAAAAACTATTTAACAGAAGTTACCAGCATACTGTAATAACAACACGTGCGTTTTAAGTGATGACAAATTACATTGACTTAATTTTCACACATCAATAAAGTATTAAAATTGAAACAATGATTCCATTCAAAGTTTGTTTAGGTGATTGTGTTGCCAGCTTGAAACATATGAATATATTGTGCACAGTAGCTCTTCTGGTGTTTATTAGTAAAAGCAGCATGCTCAACGATGTCTAATCATGCTTTAAATACCCTTCTACCTACAGTAGGTGAAATATTTCTCCTTTATAGTTAACAGGCAAAATGTGAGGACTGTTAAGAGCATTAGACAGAACACCACTATAAATAAAATTCACAATTTCTGATGACTAAAATACACATTTACTTTAATTTCAATTGTACTAAACACAGTGTCCAACCAGTACGTTTAAGACTGAGTGCAATTGCATTATTTTCCAGTTTTTCTGCCATATCACAGCAAATCAAAGGTCTACAATACTAAAATGTTGTATCTGTATGAAGATGGAATGTGAAAAAGATTATGGATGACCCCTCAAAGCATCAATCAGTAGCAGAGGTCTGTGAATATTTTTGGATCCTCTCACAAACAATTCTGTTTCTTCAGCGTTGGAGGTCACACAGGATGTCACGCCACACAGATGGCACAACGACAGCATGATTCAGAGATTAATGGGTAAGTGCAAATCTGCCGGTCGCTCCACACGAATGAGTGCCTGTGTGTTTATGTACACTGTACAGTTTTGTGCGGTGAGAGAGGAGGGCTACTGCAGGTAGCGGTAGACTTTGAAGCAGTGGTTGCCCGAATCTGCAACCACAACATGTCCATCAGAGGTGAGAGCGAGTCCCTGAGGACCGTACAGAGGGTCGGCTGAGGTGTTGATGTAAGACAGGAAGGAACCGCTGCCATCAAACACCTGAGGGAGGGATAGAGAGGGATAGAGAGAGAGAGAGAGAGAGAAAGGTAAACCCTGTGATATCTTCTTAATGGCAGTTGGAATAACATACATTTTAACATAATAACTTATTTTAATCACAGTTTAGAGTATAATGTTTTACACTGCTTAGGAAAAGGGTTTATTTTTCCCAATGTGTTATCAAGAAACAATTGGTCTTACTTTGTTTTGTTTTTAATCTATTGTATAGTGGAAAATACTAATATGTTATCAAATGGATAGTTTAATGAAGACAAAAATGATGATTCAAATTGGCAGAAGTGGTTGTTCTAAATTTGAAAGTTATTGAATTTGGAAAAAAGTGTCATGTACTTACAGTATATGTATATTTCACCTACATTTGTATGTGGGCTAGAAGACGTCATGGCACTTGAATAACAAATTATTATGATTCTTGACTCAGTGAAGAAACTAACTATGAAGACATAGTGAAATTCAAGATGTGAATGCAGCAGTGGGTTTTAAGTTTACTATTACTTATATTTTCTTAAGAGTTGTTCAGGTGAGCTTTTTTGGACTGACCTGTATCCTGCTGTTGCCCCAGTCTGCCACGATGATGTTTCCATTGACATCCACTGCCACTCCTGTGGGGGCGTTGAACTGGCCGTTGCCCTCACCATTAGAACCAAACTTCAGCAAGAACTCTCCTTCTGTGTTGAACACCTACATTTTGAATTTCAAGGGGTGATAGTATGGAGACGTTAGAATATATATATTTTTTTAACAATGATGCCAATGAAAAAAATAACAAAAACAGTAATACATCAAATAAAGAAAGGTGTTCAAATCAACATTATTCCTAGTGTTAACAAAAGGACTATCCATTTTTTTGTTTGTTTTTTTAATACAGAACATGTTGTTTGCTTGTAATACACTTTCACAGCTCTAGTATTGCACTGACCTTGACTGAGTGGTTGTGGAAATCTGTCACAATGATTTCATTTTTATTGTTGACAGCAGCAAAGTGTGGCCCTTAACAAAAAAAGACAAGCAAAATTCAGGCAAGTGTCGTTTTACAAAATGAAATAGTGGTGGTACGGTTTTAGAAATGTACATGAAAATTAGTAAGTAGCCAAATGAATTCAATGATGATAGATACTAAATACTTTTTTACAATGACCATTTAAGTTTTTCACGTGTTGTTAATATAGATTATAGGTATTCTTTTCCCTGTTTTATCTTTTTATTGAAAAATAAAAACCTCAGAAGTCTAATGGGATCTTTAAGGTTCCTGGTGCGGCATTCTTCTTCATTCCACATGCAGGTGTGAGCTGGTTGGAGAAAGACTGTGAGCGGGGCAGTGCACATATTACCGTTGAGTGTACCTGCAAACTGCCGGTCACCATTGCCACGGTTACCGAACTTTGTGACCAGCTTGCCGTTGACCTGAAAGATGAAGATGCAGCAGGCCTTGTTGTCGACCACGATGATGTGACCGTTCCTGTCCACCGACACGCCTTTAGGGCCCATCAGCTTCCCCGAGCCAATCTTGCTCTGAAGGAGTCAAAGGCTTCCTGTTAGAGGTTTTTAATTTACTAGTTCCTGATGGCACATTTCAGGAGGTATGGGCAAGGTAAATGTAACTGTTTATTAATGCCAGTATGTTTTAATGGGAGTATTACAAATAAAAATAAAGGAATATAGAAGTAACTTATATTTTGCTATTACAAGCCTGCTTTAACGATAAGAAGAAAAGTAAAACATTTACACCATATTAATTAATCTTTCATCTGTATATGAGATCAGATTATACTCTTTGGCCCCTGTCTTGTTATCAAGTTAAGATCGCACTTTAGAACTTGACTTACCTTAAACTTGCCTTCACTTGAAAAGATGCTGACCCATTTGTTGTCGTAATCTGCGATGATGATGTCACCGTTCGGGTGGATGGCCACTCCCGTCGGTCGCTGCAGTTGACCCGGAGTCCGGCCGCGGATACCAAAACGACTTTTGAACTGGCCGTCATTTGTGAAAATCTGCCTCACACAAAAACACATTTAAGATTTTAAAATTAATGTTCTGAATGCAATAATTTGGTGTTTAGTACTTTAACAGTATATTTTCATAGAGATGGAAAAATGCATAGGCAGCATTTAAGGTAACTGAAGAAGTTGTTAAGTTGGTGTTCTCCACCATAACCTCTCCATACACACATACTGCTAAACCAGTAGGCCGAGAGCAGCATCTTACCTGCACACACTGGTTGTTGCTGTCTGCTATCAGCACCTTCCCCAGAGCAGAGGTAGACACTCCCTGCAGGTTAGTGAACTCCCCTTTGTTTCTTCCTTTTGTGCCTGGAAAAACATGATATGTATTAGTAAGTGTGTTTTTGACAGAAACACATCTTATCTTCTGTCAGCCTCCCTACCTATTCTGAAGATGAGGTCGTCCTCGATGGGGTTTTCTTTCCTCCGCCCCGTGCTGTACATACTGGCCGGCCTCTTGATGGCCTTCTGCTTGATGTGGCTGCTGCCCGGAGACTTCAGCCTCTTCTTCATGCTGTCTGAACTTTGCGATACATCTATGGATTTGGTGGCCTTTATTTTAAAGGGGCTCCCTTTAATGTGTTGGTCGTATAAACGCAGTGATAGATTAAAAATCCCCTCTTTAGGGGCTGAGAACAGGTACTCATAAGTGCCATTTTTGTTGTCCAGTATCTCCCCTTCACCTTTGCTTCCATCAGCTGAGGACATTTCAGCAGTGATGACGGCGTTGCCCATCTTACACAGCTCTCCGTCTTTGTCCTTAGTGGTGATGGTGATGGAGGTGGGGACGCCTACAACACAGTGGCGTAACCCTTCACCTGTCGCCACAGTCTCAGATGCCACTGCATTTGTCGTCAAAATGGTGCCCATGTTGTGGATGGACTTCTTTAGCCCATCCGTCTCCACGATGAAGTCCAGCTGGTCGTTCTCCTCGGGCTGCAGGGGAAGCTCCTGGCTAGCCAGCTCCAC